CTTATTCTGGATCAGCTGCCAGAGGAGAGGAGTGAGACATGGGAGAGGGGACAATCACAGGAGGATGTATAGGGGAGAGGGGAATGTTGTCCCTTTCTGGAGCCTTCCCAGGGATGGCTGGAAGCTGTCTGGAGGGGAAATGAAAATGCCTTTCCCTAATGAGCATGGTGAATAGACAAGGCCTGTTCCATTAGCAAGCCAGCCATGTTGGCTGCGTCAATACTGGAATCGATCTTCCTTTGATAAAATTACAGCAAAGATTTCAGGGTTTTGTTTGGTTTTACTTGATCTCAGCTGGGTAGTTTTAAGATATGCATGCCTCTGTATAGATGGATGACCCTTGAAAGTAGTTGAACATTTTCCTGCCAACCTTTGAGCTCAACTTTTCCAAAGGGAAGGCACATCTCATTAATGAGTAATCTCTCTGACGGGTAGCCTTACAATCCACTTACAACCCAGTTTCTTCTTTGTAAGATTTTATTGAAATCTGACTAACAGCATGAAAGAGCAGTTCTCCAAAGCGGGTGGGGGACAGTAGAGTTTTGGCTTTTTTCCTTTTAATTTGTTTACCAGGAAGGGCTTGGTAATATATTAGGGATTCTTTGGCTTATTTTGAACAATAGAAAACCAATAATCTGCATGAATATCAAGAGGTCATTTGGTGGCAAAGAACAGACACCAAAGTCACCAGTTTAAGTCGATAGAAACTAAGAACTGAAATCTAATGAGAGTTTGGAATTGTACACCTGGAAGTGTTCAGGAACTGATTTTCATTCTTTTCACCTCTCTTATCCATACTTTTCCTCTGTGTATGTAGCTTTTTTCCTGTGTTTCTACAGTGAATTTCATTTCTATAGAATATTTAATATCTACTCTCTTAGGGCATCATTTTGACCTTCTGCTTCTCACCATGGCTTGGTTCTCTCTACTTAGACCCCAAACTGTCCCAGATTGAGGCTGTATATGACTCTTGAATTGGAGTGAGCACTATTAATTAGTACAGTTTTGCTCTCTGTTTAAATTAATAAGAAAGAGGGACAGACTGACTCAGTGTAGGTCAAGCACCCAGGCGATGGTACATACATTTTGATGGATGTGCTGGCACCGTGACCATGGGTCACATTACTTTGCAGAGTCCATGAAAACAGCACTACCAAAGAAGGAGGGGGTTGATTGTGCACCAGGACACCCATCCCAACTGTGATGTGGTAGGACCCAAGGTTAAATTTACCCAATGTGTCTGTATATATGTATCAGGTATGACTTAAAAAACATGGTGAATGCCTACACGTTTAAAATGTATTACAGTAAAGGACACATTGCCATTAATCCCCTCAAATTACTCTCCCTTTCTTTAAGTGTATTTATCCCATCATTCTTGCCACTTACTGAAGCAGTTCTGGAAGTCTTCTTTTGTGAGTGTCTGTAGTTGTGCTGTTATGGTTGCCTCAGTGTTCTAAATCTTTCAAAATGTTGACCTTTCATGGTCATTTTGACTTTGGGAAAAAGCCAGAAATTGCACTGTGCTAGATCCTGTGAATGAGGACACACAGTAATGTTTTTATAAGCTTGTCTTTCCATTGTATGACATTCGGCAGCAGCATTCACTGTATTTTTTATCACACCTCATGAAGATACTCATGAAAAATGACTTCCAGAACTGTTTCAGAAAGTGTCAAGAATGATGGCATAAGTGTGTTCAAAGCAAGGTGGAGTATTTTGAGGGGGAATTAATGACAATGTTTCTTTAACTGTAATAAATTTTTTAAAAAATTTAAACACTGTATTTTTGATCATCTCGTGTGTGTATATAGACATATATGTATACATTTGTGTATGCATCTGTATGAGTTATATATGGAAATTAATGATAATTTAATGGCTCTTAAGTATTATGGACTACATATTCTTAGAAACTCTATTAAAAGTGCAAACTCCAGGGCTCCTTCCTATCAGAGACGTGACTGATGGGAGAACAAACAGGAATCTGTACTTAAACTCCCCACTCAGCTAAGTCTGCTGAAAGCAGTCCCCACAACATCTTTTTAGAAGTCCTGGTTTCTCTGCGGAGTCCTGACGTGTGTTCAGGTGTGAGAAGTGGTCAGTGGTGAAGGAGCTCCTTGATGATAGTTAATTACAGTGATGAACGAGGACTTCTGACTCCCATGTGCTGACTGGGACAGATTAGGTGGTGAGAATGAATTGCTTCCTACATCTGAGCTCCAACTGGGATTCAGTGGTGTGCATATATAAACAGCTCAGGAGCCTATTTGGAGAACTCTCAAGTGTTTTCATCTCACTAGATATAGTTTTTGTCTGAAAAATAAAAGGTAAGTTAATTATGAAATAACATGGTTGTACTAATAATGCTGTTCCCAGTGCCTTGGTGAAATATGCCAGCATTGATTACATGAGCATGCCTGGGAGGATTGATACTAAGCTGTAGGAGCGATGTGAAAGGGCTTTCAGTGCTGTTCTTCCTCCCTCATGGGAGCATCATCACAGGAGATAATTTAATTTCTTTCACCCTTGTTTCCAAGGTTTCATACCTTGCTGGAAGTGCTAATTTAAAGAACACAGATTTGTAATTTTTCATTATCAAATTAAAAAATATGCTCCACATTTGCAGTTTTACTCTTTCATGAGTGCTTTGGGATGGCTTCAGGATTGCTATTGGGGCAAATATCTCCTTTACAGAGCCCAAGGTTCAGAGCATTTTATTGGGTGGAAAAAACAAAGCTATTGAGAAGAATGAAATGAAGAGATGAGGTTTATACAGCCAAGTACATCATCATCTTTCCCCATGAAACACAGAGGGTGGTTTCCAGGCACACATAGATGCTTGGCACCCGTGTTCATTTAAATGACTACACATTCAACAGAATTTGAATGTGTGATATGCAATCATTTGAAATGCTCATTATACATTAAAATAAACTGACACAAACACAACTCATTCTCTGCTGCTTTTGAGAAACTAAATAAATTAAATGAAAGAATGCGATGAAGGTGATGCTAGCCTGAAGATCTGATGCATGAAAGTCAGAAAATTCAGAATTATGTCTTTCACCAAGATCAAGTAACATTCAGCCCTGGAATGCAGTTAGCAAAGCAGAAAAAGGAAGGAGATTGTTTACTCCCGCCCTGGACCACCGTATCCTGAGGCCTCAGGCCACTTGTTTCACACTTGGTTTTGGGTGCTAGCCCAAGAGACCAAGTAACAAATAAGAGAAAAGTAGTTTAAAAAATGCAAGTGGAAGGAGAAAATCCAGTCCTCAGAGGAAAGCCACATGTTTTGCCCAGCTCTCCCATTATAATTGTCTACTCTTTTTTAATTTTTAAAATGTGATGACTAATGATTTCTCCAACCTCCTCAAGTGGGCTTCAACCCCTTAACCCAGTGACACTGTTTTCAAAGTCAATCACGTTTCCACATCTAAATGTCCCGTCTTTCTTGACCTGTCAGTCCATGGAGGGATAACTTCTCCTGCTTCCTGAAATCGTCCCTCTCGGCTTCCAAGATGATGCTTTTCTAGTTCGCCTACTTTACTCCTGAATCTCCTCCTCCTCCTTCCCTGTCCATGTTACTGACTGGCAGAGGCCAGCTTGGCTCCGAGTGGTCTCCTTTCCCTCTTCAAGGGATCCCACCCAGCCTCCTGGGTAGGTGGAGGAGCCCACGGTTACATGCCTAGGGATAAAAGCAACCCTAAACCCACATGTGTGTACCCAGTGCTGATTTGATCTCCTTATTGAGAAGTCTTACAAAGACCTGAAACTTAACATGGTAAAAACAGAACTCTTCACTTGACACTGACCTCTTCTACTTAACAATATTATCTCCATCTACCTGGTTACTTAGACAAAAAAAAAAAGTCACCCTCAACTCCTATCTTTTCCTCTCCACCTCACATCCAATTCATTAACAAACACACTCAAGACTACGCCAAAAAATATTTCTCAAATCCAATATGTGTCAACTGCCATTTTCCCCTCACCCTGATGACTGTGATAACAGGCTTTTCTGCTTCTAGTTGTGGTCATAAAATTATTTCACCTTAATGTCCTCTGTCTTTGACAATCCACCATCCTATTTCCTGGCTATTTTAGTTCTCTTAACTAAGCTCCTAACTCAGCAACCAAAGGGGTCTTCTAAAACTACAGATCAGATTGGATACTCAATGTAGTAGCTTCTATTACATATAGAACAAAATTCAATTTTATAATGGCCTACAAACCGTAAAAAGACCTGTTGCTGAATTCTATGACCACATTTTCTATAATTCTTAATCACACAGAATGTTCTTTTAAAAAGTTAGATTTTGTCACTCCTTGGATTAAAAACCTAGTAATTCTTCCCACATTGTACAGTTTTAGGACTATACGTGTGTGGTGGCACACATCTGTGATCTCCGCATTCAGGAGGCTGAGGCAGGAGGATCTCTGAGAGTTTGAGGCCAGCCTACACTACATAGAGAGTCAAGGCCAACCTAGAATATTCAGCAACATCCTGTCTCAAAAAAAAAAAAAAGAATGGCTTCAAGTAATGGGAAAACTAATAGTGCCTTGAACAAAAAAGTTTATTTTTCTCATGAACAAGAAATCCTGAGTAGGCAGTAATGCTGGTGTAGCTTTTTAATGAATCCATGAAGTACTAGAATTCTTTCTTTTTCTTCTTAGTATGTTGGCATTTTATCTTCTACTTGTTACCTCATGGTCCCAGAATGGTTCTTACAGTTCCAGACATCACATCTATCTTTTTTTTGGTTTTTTGGTACTGGGGATTGAACTCCGGTCCTTGCGCTTGTGTGGCAGACAGCAAAACCACTGAGCTAAATCCCCGGCCCACATCTATTTATGTTTCAGATAAGAAAAAGGTACAAGAGATAAGAGCTGTAGCAGCAAATTCCTTTCTATTCCAGAGCTTTTTCATTTATCTTTTCTTCCAGCTGCAACCTATTTCCACCTCATTTTTATACTGTTTGCTCCTTGTAACTATTCAGGTCACAGCACAAATGTCATCGCAGAGAGGTGAATACAGAACAGCATAGCAGTCAGTGGAGGCAAGAAGGAAACCGAGGGCTGAGATGTCTTCAGCAAGACAGTGAGGAAAACGTCCTTCGAGACTTCTTCATCTCCACCTGTCCACATTGGATCATGACTAAGACAAGAAGATTGAAAGAATGTTTTGATCAGGGTTGGAAAACTTTCCTGTCAAGGGCCAGACAGAAAGTATTTTAGGCTTCCAAGTTACACAGTTTCTATCAGAACCACTCTATTCTGCCACTGTAATGTGGAAGTGGTCATAGATGATAATGATTGCAGCTGTGTTCTAATAAAACTTTATTTACAAAGTTGGTGGCTAGTGCATTTGACTTACATGGCATAGTTTGTTAAAACCTAGGTTAAGGAAATTTTCACTTTGATTTTTTTCTGAGAGATCTCTCTACCTAAAGTTGATATAAACTACAAAATAAAAATAAAAATCCTTAAAGGCAATGCAGATTTAAACACAAAAATCCAAAACAAGAAAACTAAAAAAATATGGGCAAAAAGAGAATACAGACACACAAATATTAACAACCAAAGTAAATCTAATGTACCTCTATTAATATGCAACAAAATATACTAAACAATGGGAACCATTATGAGTGGTATAGAGTATTGTTATATATAATAAAAGATTCAACTAATTAGGAAGACATAGTTCTAAACTCATTCACCTAAACAGGTAAAAAAATAATGAAGTAAAATTGTATAGAACTTAAGTAGAAATTGAAAATTCTACCACCAAAGTTGACATTCATGCAAATCTCAGTACATATTGCATCATGTAGACACAAAATTGGTAAGATTGTGAGAGTTCAACTGTAAAATTAATAAGATTGAGGTATTGAACATATACAGAAGGTTTTATCCAACAATTAGGGATACACTCACATTTTTATTATAGTAAAATATACAAAACAGAAGTTACCATCTTAGCAATTTTAAGTGTACTGTCCAGCTATACTAAGTTAATCCACGTTGTTCTGCTATCAGCTTTCAGAATTCTTGTCATCTTGCAAAATTGAGACTCTTATGCCCATAAAAAGCCAAATCCTATTTCTCCTCCCAACTTTTCACCCCAGCAACGACTATTCTACTTTGTCTCTACAATTTTGACTACTCTTAAGTGTCTTGTGTGAGTTAAGTCATACTACTATATGATTATACTTCTAATGGCTGTATTATTTTACTGTTTTTGGTAATACTTCACTTCTGTGGCTGGCTTATTTCACTTAGCATGTCTTCATGGTTTATCTATTGTGTAGCATGTGCCAAAATTTCCTTTGTTTATTATAAAAAACTATAATCTCCATGGTATATGTTTACCACATTTTATCAATTTAGTTGGTGGACACAGATTGCTTTCATCTTTGGATTATTGTAAATAATACTCTATGAAAATGAATGTACAAATATCTGTTCAAGTCCTTGTTTTTAATTTTTTGAGTATATACCTAGAAGTGGAACTGGTGGATCATATAATTCTGTCTTTAATTTTTTAAGGAATAGCTATAGTATTTTCCATAGGAGATGCACCATTTACATTTCTGCTAGTAGTGAACTGGTGTGCTAATTTCTTCACATCCTTGCCAACAGTAGTTGTTTTTGTTTCTGTTTTTATAGTAGCTATTCTAATGAGTTTTAGGTGGTATCTCTTGGTGGTTTAATTTGCATTTACCTAGTGGTTAATGATGTTGAAATTCTTTTCATGTGCAGCTGGCTATTTGTATATCTCCTTTAGAAAAATACCTCATCAAGTTTTTTGCTCATTTAAAAATATTTTTTATTGCAGCATTGTGGTAGTTCTTTATGTATTCTGGATATTAATCCATTATCAGGTATATGGTTTGAAAATATTTCCTCTCATTCTGAGAGTTGCCTTTTCACACTGTTGATAGTAACCTTTGGTGTACAAAAGCTTTAAATTTTGATGTAATAAAATTTGTCTGTTTTTTTTCTTCTGTTCCTTGTGCTTTTGGTATATTTAAGAAACAATTATCAAATCCAATATAATGAGAATTTTCTATTTTTCTAAGAGTTTTATAGTTTTATATCTTACACTTAGGTCTTTGGCCCATTTTCAGCTTATTTTATGTATGGTGTAAGATAAGGGTTTAAGTTTTCACAACAACATTGGTTGAAAAGAGTGTCCTTTTCCCCTTGAATGGAGAATTGGCCCCCTTGTTGGAATTATTTGATCATATATTGGAGTTTATTTCTAGCTCTCTCTTCTATCCCATTGGTGTATGTTTGTCTTTATGCTAATACCACACTGTTTTAATTATTTGTAGCTTTGAAGTGATTTTTGAAATCATAAAATATGAGACTTTCAATTTCTTTTTTTCTCAAGACTGATTTAGTTATTTAGGAACCACTGAAATTTCATATGAATTTTAAGGTGAATATTTCTATTTCTATAAACAGTATTGGAATTTTGATAGATATTACATTGAATTTATTGAGTACTTTGGATGGTGGTGATATCTTTACAGTGTTTGGGTACTTTGGGTGGTATCTTTACGAACTCTCCATTTACAATAATCTCTCCTCATACATAGTTTTGGCTTCTATGGTCTCAGCTGTGGTCAACTGTAGTTCAAAAATATTAAGTAGAAAGTCTCAGAAATAAAACTCATGAGTTTTAAATTGCGTGCTATTCTGAGCAGTGTGATGAAATCTCATGGTGTCTTGATAATCATCCTTTTGTTTAGTGTATCCATGCTGTACACAGTACCCACTCAGCAGTCACTTAGTAACCTTCTCAGTTATCAAATGAGTTGGTGTGAACACAGTACTTGTGTTCAAGTGACCCTTATGTAGTAGTCTAATCCTGATGTAGGCCACAACACTTACATCATCTCACTCCATCTTGTCACACAGGCATCGGATCACCATACATCATCATCAGAAGAAGGGTAAGTACAGTTCAAGATATTTTGAGCAAGAGAGCACATTCACATGACTTTTATCAGAGTATATTATTGTAATTGTTCCATTTTATTAGTAGTTATTGTTAGTCTCTTAGTGTGCCTAATTTATAGATTAAATTTTATCGTAGTTATGTGTGTTTAGGGAAACGCATACGTATATAGAGTTCACTGCTATCCATGGTTTCAGATATCCACTTGAGGTTTGGAATATATCCCCTCCAAGAAGAGGGGACTATCTATGGCTTCTTTAATTTAGTTTAGTAGCATTTTGTACTTGTTAATTTTACAAATATTTTGCCTGTTTGGATAATTTTTTCCTATTTTATTCTTTTTGATACTATGGTAAGTAGAATGGTTTTCTTAATTATGTTTTGGATTGTTCATTATTGGTATATAGAAATGCAGATTATTTTGTCTTTTTACTTTGTATCCTGCAGTTTTGCCAAGTATGCTTATTCTGACAGATTCGTGTGTACGTGTGCACAAGTAGGTATGAATGTGTGTATGTGGGAATCCTCAGGGGTTCCTACATGTAGAATCATATTAGCTATGAACAGCATAATTTGATGTCTTCCTTTCCAATTTGGATGCCTTTTCTTTCTTTTCTTTTCTTTTTTTTTCTGACTGCTGTGGCTAGGACTATCAGTGCTATGTTGAACAGGAATGACAAACTGGAAAACCTTGTCTTGACTTGTTCCCGAACTTAGCAGAAAAGCAGCAGTGAGTGTTAATATGATCTTCCATCTATTCCTAGTTTTTAAAAAGTATTTTTATTATGAAAGAGTGTTGAATTTTGTCTAATGTTTTTTCTATGTCAATTATTGCTGTTTTTCACCTTCATTCTTTAAATATGGTATATTACACTGATTGATTTTCATATCTCAAAACGTCATTTGCATTTCAGGAATAAATCTCACTTGATCATGATATATAATCCTTTTAATGTACTGTTGAATTATATTTGCTAGTGTTTGCTTGAGGATTTTTGCATCAATATTCATTAAGGATATTAGTTTGTGGTATTATTTTTTTGTAATATCTTTGGATTTGGAATCAGGGTAATATTGGAATCAGGGTAATATTGGCATCGTAGAATGAGTTTGGACGTGTTCCTTCCACTTCAATTTGTATATTTTGGTTTTTATGTTTGCTTGATGGTCCAATAAATTCCATCAGTCCCTTAGGTTCTGCTTACTTTTCTTTATTCCATCTTTTTTGCTTGGCTCCTCTGACCTAATAATTTCCAATAATCTGACTTCACATTTACTGAATTATTTTAGCCCGTACTTATCTACTGATGTACTCTTAGACTTTTTAAATCATTGTTTTTTGGCTTCAGAATTTGTTTTTTATAATATATTTTTGTTGCAATTCTCATTTTATTCATCTCATTTTCTTTATTTCCTTAATCTGTGTCCATTTTTTTCTCTTATTCTATGAGCATATTTACAACAGTTATTTAAAATCTTTTTCTACTATGCCTAAAGCCTGCATTTCTTTAGGGTTGGTTCCTAAAGATTGTCTGTCTCATTGAATGAACAATGTGTCCATTTATTTGTATGACTTGTGATTTTTTTTTTTTTTGTCAAAAATTGGGAAGTTGATAAAATACCCACTTTTCCCAATCTTTGCTGACTGTGAGAGAATTGGTACCTCTGATTAAATCCAGGGTCAAGGATTAACACATTTTCAGGTCTTCTGTGGGCATATATGTTCTCTAAATCTGCATGTGAATATTTCCCTCCAATTTCCTTATGTATAGATCCGCTTTAATTGTCTTGATTTCCCTAAGAGTCTTTTTTTTTTTTTTTTTTTTTTTTTTTTTGGGTACCGGGGATCGAACTCAGGTCCTTGTGCTTGCAAGGCAGGCAACAGAATCACTGAGCTAAATCTCTGGCCCCTATTTCCCTAAGAGTCTCATGTCTCATTCCTGCTTCTGGAACTCTATTGTATTATTCTGCCTGAGAAGTCTTGCCTTGATGTGTATGACTATGGAGTTTTGCTGCACTTTTCATAAGCAGTTTTCATGTTTTTTCATATTGCCATCCATGACTGCCCACCTCATAACCAAACAATGCTGCCATTCTTAACTGAGCTCTGGTTCAGATGCTACAGAAACTAGTCCCTTAAGCAGTCCTCAGGCCAGCATATTGCAAATAAATGTAATGCTTTTCCTTTCGTCTTAAAAGAGGGAATTGGGAATTGGACCACTTTCCTGCAGCAATGCCATGCCAAAGAGGGAGTAGGGCAAGGCTGAACAAAAGTACTACAAAATTTCTGCCTTTGGAGTGTAGCTTTCTCCGTTTAGCATTCAGTTGCTGTCTGCAGATTTTTGACTGGTTTCAGAACTTCCGCTAAACTCTTTTAGTCATCATTAGTGTTTGATATTTCTTTGGGGAAATGAGGGCTGGGAGTTTATTTTCCTACCATGCTAAAATCACTCAAGACATGCTCTTAAACATACACAAAATATTTACAAAAATAGATTGTCAATTCAAAAATCTGGTCTCAACAAGTAACAAAAATCAGTATTATAGTTAGTATATAGAAACTTCTATCACTACAGTGCATTTAAGGTCATATTTGATAACAGGAAGTTTTACAAATTTCTAGTTACATAAATTAACAGGTTAAAAACACAACTGAACTACTTTTTAAAAATTAAAAATTTCTGGCATAAATGCATTCCAGATTTTAAAAATACCAAAAAAAATGTAACATACTAGAATTCAATGACAATAATGAAAACTCTGGATGTCAAAGCTTGTAGGCTGCAGCTAAAATGGAATTTAGAGGGAAATTTATGGTCTTGAATGTCAATATTAGAAAACTAACAAGCTAAATAATACTACTCTGTCTCCAACACATAAAACAATGCTTGCCACATAATAGACACACAAAATATTTGTTGAGATAATTATTAAATAAACCTAACTTAAGAAATTGGATAGAGGACATAAAATCAACACAAAGAAAGTAGAAAGAAGGAAATAATAAAATATATTATCAAGATAGAAAATAAAAATATAGTGCAATGAGTCAACAAAGTCAAAAGTTGTTTCTTTCAAAAGTCTAATTTTATAGACAAACCTGTATCAATGATGGCAGTCAAATCCTAGCTTGAATCCCCTAGTAATTATTGTCTTCAGGTAAGCTGTATGTAAATGAGAGATAGTACTTATCTTGGAGTATTTTTTAAAGGCCTAAATTCAAATTCCCACATGCCCAGACTGATTCCTTCTTATCTTTCTCCCATGAGCAAGGAGTAACAGGGTGCCAAATTCATGATAGCTTTGTTTGATCTATCTCCTGTGTGGGTCTGCCACCAACTGGGAGAACCAAGTAGGAATTAGTCATAAGAACCACACAACAGATGAGTTCAAGTATTTGTTCAGTGAAGCATTTTGAGATGGAGATTGAGAATTTCACAGTCCCAGATCCACTGTTTTGGCCTATGCAATAAACATGGGAACACCAGTATCTTTTTGATATAATGATTTAATCTTCTTTGGATATATACCTACTAGCACAATTGCTGGATCATATAGCAGTTCTATTTTTAGTGTTTTGAGGATTTTCTATCATGTTTTCAATAATGGTTATACCAATTTACATTCCCACCAACAGTGTATGAATTAATCTTCCTGTGAATTGTTATGACCATTTGGTTTTTGTGTGTGTGTGTGTGTGTGTGATATCAGGGATGGAATCCAGGGCTTTGTGCGTGCTAGACAAGTGTTTTGCCACTGAGCTATATCCCTTGTGGGTTTTTGGGGTTTGTTTTTTTTTTTTGTCTTTTTGATGATAGCTATTCTAACTGGGTTTAGATGATATCTTATTGTGGTTTCAGTATGCATTTCCATGATGACAGTGAAGTTGAGCATTTTTTCATATATTTTTTGGCCATTTATGTCTTCTTTTTGGAAATGTCTATTCAGAACTTCTTAACTGCATTATTAGTGGGATTATCCTTTTTG